TCGGGGCTGGTGTTGGGGCTGTGCTGGGTTCAGGGCTTGCTGTGGGGCTGTGTTCGGAGGCAGAGATTTGAGCATCAAAACTCCTGTGGGGGAAACAGGAGGGGTTTGTGGATGCGCTCTGTAGTCAGACCTGGCAGCCTGTGCACCGCCAGCGTGCCGGAGGCAGGGGTAGTGAGGAGAGGCAATCCCAGCCCTCCGCTTCCCAACAGGCAATGGCAGCAACAGGCTGTGATGTGCTACAAGCCGAAGGGAGCTCCCATCCGGTTCACACGGCACGGATGGCACCGGCAAACCAAAGCCTTCATCTCCTGGTTCTCTCCCCTCCCCGGGCTGCAAGGGGGCCGGTTGTGGCATCCCAGCACAGGCTTTGGCAGCGCTGGGGACCGAAAGCCTTGTTCTGCACCGTTATCAGGAGGAGTTTTGTTCCGACTGAAGGGAACAATGCGAACGGGAGCCACGGAGCGCTGGCTGGCGATGAAAGTTCCTCTGAAGCGACAAGAGATTTGCTTCAAAGGGGCCTGTGAAGAGGTTCCGCTTTAATTCTGGGGAGGAAAGTGCTGCATAACCTAATTAATACATGAAAACAAATATGTATACACACACACATCCCCTAAAGTCCACAGAGCACGGAGCACTGCAGACGAACAGCAGCATCCTGGTGATGCTGCGGCCCAGGCACTTCACAGACTTCTGCACTGAAGTCGTGTTGCTGCCAAAGGGAAAGGAAATGCAGTTTTATTTTTAACTGGTGTATCCAGAGGCAAGGAGGAAGGGATGTGCAACAGTAGAAGAAGTAGATGAGGACCCTGGAGATCTCAGCTCAGTTCTTGGCTCCTCTGCAAACTCCCCATGCGACCTTAAGCAGGTCACTTCATCTCTTTGCGCTTCATTTGCCTTCTGCAAAGTTTGGAGAGCGTGATCCTCCCTCCGGTCTTGTCTGCCTGGGTCGGGAGCACACGTTATTTCACTTGATTTGCTTTGATTCCGGTGCAGTGCACGGAGCTGGCGCAGTGCGGGAGAGGAGCCGTGGCCGGGGAAGTAGCAGGCAGACAGCAGTTGTGCCTTCATGCAGGCTGTGCTTTCATTACAAAATAGAGTTGTGCAGAGGAAAGGCTTTGGTTTTCACTCAGTAAAACATTGCATGGGGTTAGAGCTGGGTGCAGTGACTGCTTCTTGCAGCCTGATCTGCACTGGCAACCGTTCTGTCATTCTGCAAACATTGGCTTTAGAGGAAGAGGGAGGCTCAGCCCTGGTGAATCCTGCCTCAGTGTGCGGTGTCATTAGAAGTCCTTGGGAAATTCTTATCCCATGATGTGCTGTGGCTGGCCCCAGGGAGGGACGGTGGCCTGGGAGCAGCACTGCTTGGGGGGCACGGGCACCCTGGGCTGCACTGTGCATGGGGACCTGCTCAGAAGCAGGGATTCGTGTCCCAGCCCAGGCACAGCTTTGGGGTCTCTGGGGAGAGCATCCGCAATGGGCAGGCACCTCGTACTGGAAGTGTTGAAGGTTGTGCACATGAATCATTCATTTTCTGTCCTGGCCTTTTGGCGTCATCGAAACAATTTCTCTGTTGGGCTCTATCCCACCATTACCGTGTCTGGCTGCTTGTGCCTTTTCCCCGACAGTGCTGGGGAGGGATCTGTCCAACTGTCACCTCTCCCTCCCCGCCTCCCTTGGCACTTGACCGACAGTTGGCATCCTGCACACAGCACTGAGCTCCTTCAGCACAACACCTAAAGCATCGCTTCAGCACCCAGCAATTCCTAGCCACTTGGCTCCCATCCATTACTGAGGGACGGGAAGAGGCAGCTCTGCCTATGGAAGTGCTGGTTCCCTTATGCCCGAAGGAGGCTCTGTCCTCCTCAGGACGTTCTTCCTCGCCATGACCCATGTTTTTCCCTCTGCTCCCCCTTCCCTCTGCCCCTGCCGGCTGTTCCGTGGGCAGGATTGCTGCAGGCAGGCCGGGCTGGCCCATCCTCACAGCACAGTGGTTTGTGACAAGTTGTGTTTTACGGAATACTGGTGGGGTAATTCTGCACATCCTTGTTTTGTCATGTCGGGCGCTTAAAGTGTCATGGAGATTGCACCATCCTCAAAGCTCATCTGTCAGCACCAGTGAGTTGTTCCAGTAAAAGGGTATCATCAACTGCTGCGGGAGGGAAAAACATAGGAGAAAGGACCTGCATGAAGGGTTTCTGTTCCAGGCTCTCTGTGGCCGACCTTGAGCCTGTGCAGCAGCACCCAGTGCCAGCGCTGGCTGCTGCAGCATCCCTGTCCCCTGAGCATGCAGATGGGGGTTTGCACCCAGGTAGTACAGAGCGTATGGATGGACAGACTGAGAGGTGCGGGGAGGGAAAAAGGGGGTTGTGGATGGATGTGGATGGTGCCAGTGCTGCTCTGGAGTGGTTGTGTGTGAGGAGGGTGAGGATGCTGTCACTAACATGGACAGAGAGCTGGTGTGGGAATTGTAAGTGGGATTTTAAGCTGTGCTAAAACCTCCCACAGGATTTGGAGCCAGTCAGCAACTGTTCTGGTTGTCTGGGTGAGTTGTTTTGGGTTCGGGGTATTTTTGCCAGATATATATAACTAGAGCTTGATAGAACGTGGGAAAAATGTTGATCTAGGGCTGGAAAAGGGAAGCACGCAGTATTTGCCAGCTTATCTATCAGTAAACCTCCTCCCTGGGACAGGCTGCATCAGGGTTACTGGTGGTGTTTAACTGTGGGATGATGCTTCTGCTGCACCAGGCCAGAGCAGTTGTGTGTTCAGGGTGAGAACGGCTCAAACCCTGGTCAGGATAAACTCTGCAGTCTGTTAGCTTGCTCTGGAATTGTACCAGTAATCTGTGGTTACATTATTAATGTAGTATTAAAAGAACTTGGGGCCTCTGAGGAAATTCCTGTTTCAAATAAATAATTACTGGAGCCAAGATAATTTATTAGATTAAATTGAAAAACCCAGGCACACTCTGTGTTTGCCTTCAGGTGATTCTGCTTTTTTAACTACCAAATATCCACTGTTAGTCGCATCGCCAGCCCCAGGGGCTGCAGGCTGGCTGGAATGCCGATGCAGCCACAGCCTGGGTACCACGTTGCTGGGTGAGATCCAGGATGGGCATGGGATGCGGGACAGCATGGAAAGGTTTCCTGTGGAAGAGGTGTCCTCGTGGCAGCGTGGACAAGGCTTTGTGGTGTGTTGTGGTTGGCTGTTCATGAGCGAGGCCGTTTCAGTCAGTTGGTAATTTTCATACAGCACTTTGCTGAAGTGAATCCTGAGCCTGGTGCAGGACAGGGCTCCGCTGCCGCTCACAAGTGCCACCCGCTTTGGTGGGTTTTATCTCCGCTTTGCCGAGGCGTGTGACAAATTAGGACTAAATCAGAACCTCAAACGATGCCGGCGCGCAGAAACAGGAATGCTACTGCAGGAAACAGATAAAAATCCTTCACACAGCACCGTGGCTTCAGAAGCAGAATAAACAACGTTTAAAAATGGATAAACACAGATGGCAGATTTCCCTAAAAAAGAGAAGTGTTTTGAGAAAAATAAAAGCCCTTAAAAAGGAATAAAATATGAAAAGGAGGAGAAGTGGGTCAGGAAGGAGCCGTCAAAGGAAAGGGGGAAACTAACAAAACAGAAATCAAAGACAAAGCGGATCCCGCCGGCGCGTGGCTCCAGGCAGCTTCCTGCTGGGTGCACCGCGTGTCCTTGGTCTCATCCAGCTCCATTCCTTGGGCATCTACACAGGCACTGGCTGTGGCAAATAACCCCTCACAGTGTGTGGGCATGAGGAGGGCTGGAGGCTGCTGGAGATGCCCCTTGGAGCTGCCCAGCCAGAGGGGTCCGAGCCCTCCTGCAGGTACCAGTGTGCAGGAAATAAAGGAACCACATTTAAACTTCCAACTCACCCAGCATCGGTGGCAGAGGAGAGGGACGTTTCAAAGACTCATTTATTTGCCCCATTAACCATTTTAATGGCCTCTCTCCAATAACAACCGTTCCCATGGTTAGAAGAGCAGGTGTTCAAATAATCAGAGTGATTGAGGAGCCTCGGATGGTCATTATTATTAATACCCGCAGTAAAAGCAAACGAGGGAGACGTACAGCCCGTGTGCTCTTTGATACCCTTTCGGTTCATAGCCTGGCAGCCCTTTCCCTGCGGTGGCTGGTGGCAGGTTAGTGGTAGCAGTGACCAATGGTGCACTGCAGCAGGGAGAGGGGGATCTCCTCCAGCAAATGCCTCCCCAAAAGCAACGTGGGGCTACGAGTTTTTCTGTCCACTGTGCTGTTGGCTAAAACTGACTCTGTTTAGGAGGGGCAGGATGTTTTTAATGGCCAGACCTGTGAGCTGATGTGGGGATTTGCAAACTCACTTACTGCTGGCAATGAGGAGTCTTCTAGGCAGCATTTTTGGTGATGTGAGAGGCTGTGGTGATATTGGTAACAGGAGTGAAAATCTGCGCATGTCCCACCAGGAACAGATCACAGCCTGCACAGCACCTTGTGGCTGTCATCGTGTATGTACTAACCCATGTAGGAAACACTGAGCACACAAAAAGCTTCAGTGGGCACATAAACACTTCTGTTTTAAATCAGTGTGCCCCCTTGGGTGCTTCATGTGAAGCTTGCACAGTGTTCACAGAGCTTTTAGCCTGTTCACTCGCACTGCTGAGGGATCAGTGGCAATACCAGGCACCAGCAAGGGAACTGAAAAGGGGAAAAAAGAGGAAACGTTGGTGCTGGGGGTTTGCTCAATGCCCTTCAGCAATTAACGGTGAGAAGGGACGTCCAGTCACATTGCAACCTGCAGTCTTAACAGTGCTCGTGGCGATGCTGCCCATGCTTTCATCCATGGAGGAGGAAAACCACTTCTTGTCCTTAGCAAAGAGCTCAGTCTGTAGAATGAAAATCACCTCCCAGAGCATTTTCTTTTGCCAAGCTACCAAACACCAGTTCACCCAGTTACAGTGAGCACAAAACCAAGGCTGCACAAACACACCATCTTTCAACAGAACTCTCTTTTAATTGTGTTGGGAAAGACTCCATCTAAAACAGGGCAAAGAGGAGGATCAAGCCATGTGCTTTACCCAGGAGACAGACAAGGGCACTGCTGAGGCTTGCACGCATCGACTCCATCCTCTAACAGAAAAGCAGAGGTAACTTGGGCTTCCACCTGCATGTTAACAGCTGATAAGAAATAAGGTAAGGAAAGGGCACAGCTTCTCAAGAGGCTGGCAAACAGAAAAGAACCGGGAGATGCTTCTAAGCATTTGCTACGGGCTGCAGGGCAAGGCGAGCGATCAACTGGCGCTCCTCTCGCTTTCTCCATTCTCTATCAGCTTCCTTTTCTTTTCATCCGTTTTCCTCTTGAAGATGCTATCTCTGTAGAACTGAAGCTCTTTGATGCTTTCCCTGATGTCATCCAGTGCTCTGAAAGAGAATTGAGATGGGTCATCTCCAGCTACATCTTGGTTTGGGCTGTAAGAGACCAAGCTCTGACAGGCAGGGATCACACCTCCACTGGAAATTGAAACAGCCCTCACAGTCTCAGCTACGTGGAGAGCAATAAAAGTCCAGCAGCACTAACAGGAACACACGGCTTATTAGTTTATGGCACCGTGGGACATGGAAGCTCCCGAAAGCCAACAGGTTCTACAGCTTCCGCTATTAAAAGCAATTCAATCTGAGACAAGAGATGGGGGCCCTGGAGACGTGCTCCAGCTCCTGCTTTGTCCTGCTCCACCAGACAGCATGGTCCATATGAAGCAGTGACCTCGCTGTGCAGCACAGACACCCACCCGCCACTTCAATGGAGACCACCACAACAGTCGTTCCTCCTTTCCTTGTACCAGATCCCCCTCACCTGCCCAGCACCACTGTGCCAGAGCAGAGTGGCAAAGGTTCCGTGACTCCTTCCCACTGCCCTTAGGACAGTCAAAGCTCCAAGCACCAAACAGCAGCCTGACACATGATGAACTCCTGAAACTGTTTTAATAATCCCTTTCCCTACACTAACCAGGCTTCAGACAGGAGAATACGAACATATGATGGAGAACAGCAGCACCGCTGCCTGTATTGGAAGCAGTGTGCCTGGAACTCAAAAGGAAGCTCCGTGTTCTGCTCATGAAGTCCCTGCACAACTCCAGTACAGACAGAAGCAGCAACCTCACCTGTGAGAAGCCGCCTTCTTTGGTGCAAACTCGTATTCTTCCGGATACCAGCGTCTGTAAGTGGGGGAAAAAGGGAAATGGGATTCAAAACCACATCAGGTGGCTGCTGTGGTCTTGTTGCCATTGCAAAAACCCCATCATGCACCACTCAGAGCAGCTCAGGGCTCATCCTGTGCCCCCACCAGAGAGGAATAAACAAAAGGAGAAGGAGGCTGGCAGCAGCCTTCCTGCCCCTCCAGCCTTCAGCCTCATCTGAGAAGAGCATCATTAGCACCACATTAACAGGCTTCCCCAGATCTTCCCTCACAGCATTGTTCTTTCGGGGAACACTGACCTGCAGAGTTCTTTGACAGTGCTCACGTCAATGATCCGGTAATGAAGATGCCTCATGAACTGTGGCATGTATTTGTCAAGAAATTTCTTATCTGCGTGAACAGAGTTACCTACAGAGACACAAAACAAGATGTTAGCTCAGCGATGTTGCAAACCTCCTGCAAATGACACCTAAGGGGAATGGCTCAGCGAGCTGGGCAGAGATGAGGGGTAGGACAAGCTATTCCCAAAAAGCTTGTTTAGCCCTTTTTCTAGCAAATATGATTGCAAAGGTTTGTCAGACTTTCCTTGTGGGATCAGGCATGGTGTTAATACTTAATCCCTCTGTAATAATTCAGATTGCTCCTACCATTTCTGTCACGCAGGTAAGTATCCAAGTATTTACCTGTGTTGTTACAAGTATTTACAAAAGCTTTTCTGCTGAGGGAAAATGGGCCCTGTTAATTTCACTTAACACCAGTCCCACTATATGTGAATGGCTGGAATGTTGTGGCAGGACAATGGGGAGATCTGTATTTGATGTTTGGTTCCATGCACAGCGAGGAGAAGACTCCTTTGGGTTGCTGCTGGGATTCTATGGTCAGAGATGGCTGTCGGCAGTTAGGCTGCCTGCCTCAATTGCAAGTGTACACAGAAATGTTAATGCACAAAAGAACTGAAACTGCCATGATGTGCAAGAGCCGCTTTAGGGAGTCAGCACAATGGGTTATGCCCTGGCTGAGCCCCTCCTTACTGAGCAGGATTTGATCTGCCTGCACAGACACCAGCACACCCCACCAGGAGCACCAGCAGCACTGTCACTATGGGTAAGACAGAACACACGTACCTGCAAGGGGACAGACACCCGGTGGGGTCTGCTGCCGCACAAAGGACAGGAACTCATACTCTGCCTGCTGCAGGGAAATCTTACTCTCCTTCACAGCCTTGGTAAGGCCAGACTGCAAGAAAGAGCCAGGTGTCATCAACCACAAACACATGAGAATATTCCCAGAAAGTAAAACTCAACAGGAGTCAAGGCGGCAGCAGCAGCACAGGCCTCACGACACTGCCACTGCTGGGGGTTGGGGGTTCTCTGTTCCTGGGTGCTGTAACTGCTGGGGGTGCTTCTCAACTACAGAGACATTAGAGAGGCCTCATGTATCTGCCCGCCCCTGGGTGACCCAGGAGAGTGTCCTGCTTCTCCCTGCTTCAGGAGCAGCACTCACCTGCCCCAGCGCAGCACATACACAGAGAGGTATAAACCAACAGAAAGAATCGGGATCCTGCTTGACTGTTTACCAAGAGTCCTGTAAATCAGAAACGTTCCCTCCCCCTTTTCCCACCAGTTAAATGTCAAACCTGCTGCATGCGCTCGCAGTGATTTATTTCCATCTGGCTGCTCTATATATTTCCACGCCTGTGCCGCAAAACTCTACTTGACAGATCCAAGTGGTGGTTAAAAAATTCATTATGTGGCTGCATTTTCATCTATATTCTAATTGCTTCTCTTTTCTTAGGCAATTAAAAGTAAGTAGCTCCTGAGGAGCAGTGGCAGCGTGTGCTGCTGTCTCCAGCCCACTCCTGAAGCACGGCCGAGCTCGAGTCCTCCGCTGGGGAAGGGGAAAGGCGCCCAGCACAGTAAATTAATATTCCTTTTCCAAACTCCTGCTAATCCTTCCTGGGGAAAGCGGGGTGCCAAAGGGAGGGGGGCTTACAGCATCTTCAAACTTCAGCCTTAATTGAAAAGTAACTCGAATTTCAATTTTCAATCGGGGATCGGACAATCCGTTCGCTTGCTGGCTGCTGGCAAGGAGGAGGCTTCCCTCGGTAGCTGGAAGAACTAGTAAGTGTAATCCCTTGCTGCAAAAGTTCAGCTTTCAGTGAAAAACTGACAGTGGGGGCACAGTGCTGAGGGGACAAGAAGAAATAACAACCCCTCTTCACAGCACATCAGCCTCTTTAATCCTGCAGGTACCTGAATCTGCACTGAGGAATGTGCATTCTGTCAGCTCTGGGCTACTCTACACACATCCTGTGCCTGTTTTCACCTGAGACTTCAAGTAACACCTTCCCCTTCCCCACTGGAATGCTTTTGCTTTATTCTGTGCACCACAGAACAGGTTTTACCCAGAGGAGCTTCCAGAGTCGCCTCTCTCACCCTGCCTGCAGCTCCCCCGCAAGCTGCTGCTCCGGCCACTGCAGCTCACACAGCATCTCCCACACTGCTCAAACTGATTAAAAACCAGGCTATGAGGCACGGGCCACTTCAGGGCTGTAGTGTGGCTCAGGTACTGGATGAGGGGTGAAGGTTCAGGGATGCAACCTGCAGCTGCACACGACACCTTGAACAAAGCAGTACACATCACCTCCTCAGCACAATCTAAGGATGATACTTACTGTCTGCTGTTCTTTATCCCAGGTTATAAACACATAAATGTCTTGGCTTTTGCAAATCATAGGTGTGGTTATGTGGATATAACTATGAGTTTACAATAACAGAAACAAAGCTCGCTAAAGACACAAGATTAGACAACAACTTAAAAAGGGCCAGAACTCTTGAGCAAAACGGAGTCACATAGCAAAAGAATTTGTAAAGGTAGATGGGTTGGGGGGGCACTTGATATAAGAAAAGCTAGTGCCCTCTGACTGCAAACTGCCCATTACAGCTTTTTAGGTGGCTGTACCGCAGCTCCTCATCCTGAACAACACATCATTCCCACCGCGGCAGAGAGAGGGAATCACAGCATGCTTGCTCCAGGAGGGTTACCTTCCCGTGGTGCTCCTTGCACCAGTCGGACATGCTCTCCAGCAGCTCGTCGGGCTGATTAATGATCAGGTTCGGGCCCTGGCGGGAAGAGAAGACGGCAAAGGTAACACCCCCGAGCCGGGAACGGAGCGGTTTCCATCCGGACAGGGCCCGGCGATGCCCAGGGCGGGAGGAGCGGCCGTTCCGAGGGCATGAACCGGCGGCTCGGCTCGGCTCGGCTCGGCTCAGCCCTGCCCAGGGCCGGCGGCCGCCCCACGCCCTCCTCCCCGGCCCTGTGGAGGGCAGCGAGGGCCGTTACCTGCCCCCAGCAGGGCCGGGAGCGGGCAGGGCTGTGCTGTGCTGTGCCGTGCCGGCGGCAGGCGCCTCACCTCGGCCAGCACGTTGAGGTCGCAGTCGGTGATGAGGCAGGCCATCTCCAGGATCTGGTCCTTCTCCACGTCCAGGCCCGTCATCTGCCACAGAGCGCAGCGGCACCGTCAGCGCGGCCGCGGGTCCCCCGTCCCTCCCGCCGCCTCCCGTCCCGTGCTGCCCGCACCTCCAGGTCCACCCAGACCATACGCTGGCCCATGTCGCCGCCGGCCATGCCGGACGCCCGCCGCCGGCCCCGCCACAGCCGTCCGGCGCAGCTCCGCAGGCGGCGCAGGCCGGCGCGGCTGCCGCCCAGCATCGCCGCCAGGCCGCAAAGCGCCGCCGCCGCACTACAGCTCCCGGCAGGCCCCGCGGTGCCGCGACCCGCTAGCAGGCGGGCGACGGGCGCGGGGGATGCTGGGAGATGTAGTCGCGGCGGCAGCACAGCGTGCGGCTGCGCTGCGCTGGACCGCGGCCTCGCCCGCCCCCGGCTAACGGTAGAGGGAGGCTGAAAGGGAAGGGAAAGGAGTTTGCACGCGGGGGGTTTCCAGGGAGGATTTAATGCTTTTCTCTGAGACACCCGAGTGTTCTGTATCCATGACACCACCAGAGATATTAAAGACACCAGGAAACGGACACGGCGCCTTCCCATGGCACACAAACGGCGTTGGCGGCTTCTCCGTCACATCAGCAAACGGCTGCCGCTGCCCCAGACCACTGGTTCCCCCGTGAAAAGCCCTGAGGTACAATTAACACGTTCAAAGTGGAGATTCCGGTTTCGGGACTGCTGCTGGGACTTGTACAAACATTAAAAGGTAACGCTGTCGGGTTGTGTGTGTGGGTTTTTCACACATATACTTGGTAAGAAAGGGGTTGCGCTTTCTGTCCCATGGAGTCCATCAAAGCCCCCTCCGAGGGGCTAATGCCGAGCCTGGTGCCACCTGGGCTCTCTCCGGTAGTCGTGGCTCCAGCTATCCCGGTGCCGGTCGTCGTAGCCAGGCTCCTCTCTGCTGGCGCGGTAGCGGTGCTCGTGATCATGGCCACGCTCCCCAAAGCGGGGCTGCTCGCGGCTGCCGTGCCGCCCGTCGGGGTGGTAGGGGTGGGCGGCCAGCCGGCCCTTGCGCAGCAGCTCTGGGTGCCGTGGCAGTGAGCAGCCTGGGGTGGGGTGGTAGCTGTGCGCAGGGGTCTGGTAGCCGGGAGGGCTGAAGCCAGGCTGCTCGTACTTGCCCCCGAAATGAGGCTGTGGCCACGAGGTGCTCTTCAGCTGTGGGGAGAAGAGGAAAAGGGTCAGTGTGTTTGGTGCGCTCGCTTGAGCCATTCTGTGGTGGAGAAACCAGCCTTCATCCCACTCTGAATACAAGGGAATTGAAGGGGTTTGGCTCCGAAACAGAGCTAAACACTACCTTAGAGCAGCTGTTACCGGCTGCTTCCGCTACAGCAACACTGCTAAACCTCAACAACCCCCCTGTGTCACCCAGCTCAGCAGCAGGAAACATAATTCCTCTGGAACTGTCATCTCATCCCCCCAAAAAACCCCATTCCCACAACCTCTCAGGATCATTATAGGAAACAAGTGCTCGAAACCAGAGACAACACCATCATGCATCACTTGCCAGCTATGGGCACCATTAGGACAAGCGAAGAGCGTACCATCGCCTGTCTCTGGAGGTTGTCAGCCGTCGGCAGAGACCGCTGCGTTGATGGGAACCCTGCCGGTACCATGCCATCAGGACTCCTGTCATATCTGCAGGAGAAGAGAACCACAGGGAATGTCAGCCTTAAACAAGACTACAGCAGTCCAGGGGGCACTGCCATCACCGTTGTGTTTTGCAGTTGGAAACTAAACACCGAGGCCCATACCTGCTACCGGTGGATGCTGGGTGCGGCACGCCCAAGGGGCTGGTGCCGGTGGTGCCGTGTGGGGAACAAGACTCCTGAGCCGCGTGGCTGCTTCCTGCAGAGAAACAAACGTTCTGTGAGACCGGGAAACACGAGCTGGAGGCACTCGGGGATGAAGTGAACATGCGAGATACTTTTCCCACAGGCTTCATTAGCTCTTGAGGTTCATCAGTGACCTGCAAAAGCACACAGCCCAGCAAGACACCACGGCTGTCCTGCCCACCAGGCAAGGTGCCATTGGATGCTGTCTGGAGGGGGATGCAGATAAGAGTTTTGCTTCCGCCTTCCCTTGTCCCCCATCGCGGGTACCTGATCGGAACTGGATCTTGATGGGCCGCCCGTACAACTTGATCCCGTTCAACAAGTTGAGCCCGTACGGGACGGATTCCTCGTGCTTGAAGTTCACGAACGCGAACTGCTTGGGGCGCCCATCCCGGTCCTTGGGGATCTTCACCTTAATTACCGGGCCCGCCTGCAACCGACCAGCACACGCGTTAAACCCACACGTTTGTCCTCCGGCGGCCGCCGTACCCGGGGTTCACCCCGCCGCGCGCTGCAGCCGCGGGCCTGCCCGGTGTGCGGCGCCGGTGCGGGGGGTACCTGGTGGAACAGCTCGAAGATGAGCTCCTCGGTGACGCGCGGGTCCAGGTTCCCCACGAACAGCGTCCGGTCCAGCTCCGCCGCAGCGCCCATGGCCGTGCACGGGCCGCGCGCGCTCGGCGGCGCCGCCCGCGTGACGTCAGTGCGGCGGCGTGCGCGCCACGCCCCTTCCGTGGGCGTGGCCTGGAAGGGGTCCGGTACCGGCGGGCGGGGAGCGGAGCCCGGTGGCCGGTGACCAGCGCGGCGTTCGGTCGGTGGTTGTCACAGCAAACCCGGGTTCTCGCTGCAGCGGGTGTGCCCCTTGCACCGGCCGCGGCTGCAGCAGGGCACGGCCGCTGGGTTCGGCCGGTAGAACCGTGACCGAGGTTTGAACGCCCCGGGGCGGGGGGGAACGCCAAGACCCGGGATCCCCGCGGGGTTGCGGGGGGGGGCTCTCCTGGGGCTCCTGCGCCTTGTCTCCCATGGGTGCTGCTGCAGGCGCCCCACCGGGCCGGATCCCCCCGCCGCCCATGTGCCATGGCCGGCGCTGGGGGCAGGTGTCGTGGAAGGGGTGCCTCGGGGTGCCTGGTGAGGCCGGGCAGCGTCTCCCGGCTGTTTCAGTCCTCCCCGTGCCTCCTCCAATGGCTCTTCCCAGTGCCAGCTACCCCGCAGCTGCCTGGGAAGGTGCGGGATGTAAACCCGGGGCATTTCCCATCTGGAGGAAGTTTGGCAGGGGCAGTTGAGCCTTCATCTTTCATTAGGTTGCGCTGCGTTATGGCAGATCCTGTTTTCTTTGTTAATGAGGTGCTGTTCATTTTCTTCACTCCATTACTTGCTGCCGCACCTAGAATTTATATTCATCTGCTTTAATGGTGTGCGCCTGGTTAGATTCTAACCAGTTACTCGTTCAGAAAGGAAATGATTACCTCGCGCTGCCAGGGCTCCCACTTTGCCTTAATTTCCCTGGAGCCTCGTTTACTTCCCTCCGCTTTCTTCCCTTCCTGCGTTCTGGGTCCCACCGGACTCACTGGGAGCTCGTGCCACATTCACACCACTGCCAGCTCGCTCCATGCACCGAGCACCCTGTGGCCAGGCCAGGGCCATCCACAGCCAGCCTCGACCTGCAGCAGGTACTGATGGCACAGGTATTGCACAGCACATCCCAGACCCAAGAAACCACGAGGTGAGGGAGCAGGGAACTGTTTTTCCCTTCTTGTGTTCCTGTTTAATGCCTTTTTTGCTTTTCAAAGCGGCAAAATGGAAAACCGAAAGGTTTTTTGCTTTGGGGGCAAGCCACACTCCTTCAGTACCTGTTTTCCCTCCAAATCCACAGGCACTCATGAGATTTCAGCCACTTCCACTTTCTGTTTGCAGCATTAGAAGAGACACTGGGTGTTTTACTCCTCCTGTGTCCATAGCCTGGCATGGTGGTCCAGGACACATCAATGTTCCTGCAAACAAGCACCACATCACTGCGGCTGTGGAGCATCTGAAGCTGCACAGAGAGGAAGGGAAGCAACCAAAACCAGCACCTGTGGTGGGTACTGAACACACTGGGCTTGGGCCATGGTCCTGCTTCACTGCTGCAGCTGCATGCTCAGACAGGGCACACGCAGCAGCAGAACAGCACCAGGCTCTTGGCCGGGAGAGCAGTTCAGCACTTCCTCAGGCTGTGACAGAAGGGGAATTGTAGCTATGAACTTCCCTGTGAAGGGAATCGTTGTGCTTTTGAAGCAGACCGTAAAAACCCGGCAATGCCCGTGTTGGAACAGTTAAACAGCAGCTAAAGGCGCCAGCGTGTTCCAGAGAGCGTGGCAGCAGCTGCTGAATTCCTGCCTCTGCTGCACCCCTGGCAGGCACAGGGGGGCTTTATAGCCTTCAGAAGCAGCAGCTTCTATCCAGCATTAACTATTACATCCAGAGGTAAGCAGCGAGTGGGGCAGCCCGAGGGCAGCCTCTGAAACACCACTGGTGTCCAGCTCCGTGTCTTGGAGCCGGGCAACAAGGTTGTTCCCAGTGCTTGTGGCAGTGCTGAAAATGAGCACCACTGGCGCCAGGGAGGGTTTAGTAGAGGGGTTTTGATCAGGTTCTTGTCAACAAACTGAAAGGCAGGGGGTGGAGGGGAGGGCAAGTGCCACTGATCCCTGCAGGGTGTGCTGAGCACTGTGCACTTTGTACAGCATCTGGGGAATGTGACTCATTCCAGCCTTCAGACTCTTCCTGGTCTGTTTCACACTCACTCCCTTACTGCTGCTGTAAGTCATCAGTTTGTGACAGGACTCCACCTGTATATTGGGTGAGAAAATGTCTCACTTCTGTATTCATTCTTGAACCAAAACTACCCCATAAGAAAGTAGGTATGAGCAAGGGAGGAGCTTCAGCCGCCAATCCCACACTGCCCCTCAGAGCTGCTGCGGGTTGGGGCATGTGGAGTGCACTGAGACAAATTCTTACTGAAAATGCCTCGGTTTGAGTGTCTCTAAGCTGCATCTCTGGTATGCCGCAGGTCCGGCTGTCTGCAGCAGCAGCAGAGCCGCTGTGTGTGGCCAGCAGGGCTGCAAGCAGAGGAGGCTGCTTTGGGAAGAGCATCCTTTCCATGCACCAACCCTTTGAGCCCCATCCCTGCAGCTCTGCCAGTGCCCAGCAGGTCAAGACTGCTGCGGCCACAGCATTGTCCCCAGCACTTGTTACACCCAGAAAGATGGGCAGGCAGCCCTGGTTCTGTGGGAGCTGGGGCCTGTCTGGGTGCAGGGTACGCTGCTCCCCTTGACAGCACCCATTTCCCCCCAGTATTTCAGAAGGCACATGGGATGTGCCCAGAAACCAGAAATGGGTCTGGGTTTGGACAAGCTCCCAGCACAAATCCCAGCCCACACCATCACTGGAGCACTCATGAGTTTATTTGCTGTCAGGTAAAGGGATGGGTTTCTTGGGCAAGGATTTAGGACACGGGGCACGCTGCAGCTTCCCCGCCCCGAGCCCACGTGCTACGCGGTGGTGGAGGCACGCCGGCATGCCACGAGGGTCAGCACAGCTCTGCAGTCTGTGCGGGCGTCACCAGGCATGTACGGCTGCATCTCGCTGAGCTTCACGTCAAAGCCAGCAGCCTCCACAGCCTCCTCCACCATGCTCCTCTCCAGGTAGAGGCACGAGAAAACCTGCTTGTTGAAGGCGTAGAAGGTTTCCTGGAGGACCGTCACCATCACCAGGTGCCCTCCGGGCTTCACCAGGGTGCTGATGTTCCTCAGGGCACTGCGGAACGTGGCCAGGTCCTTGCAGGCGGCCTCCAGGCAGAGGGTGGACACGATGCAATCAGCGGGGGGCAGGGACACGGGGGCAGTGGGGTTGGGTTTTGTCACGTCGCACTTGAGAACTTGCTTCACCTTCTTCCTCACTTTCTCCTCTTTCTCAGCCCACTTCTCCCTGGCAAGTCAATAAATAGACAGACAGAGGCTCATGATGGGGTTATTCAGCACCTTCACATGCTCCGTGGCCAGTGGCAGCCAGCCTCACCTGTCCCCTTCCAGCTCACACACGAATTTCACCACTGGGCTCCAGTCAAAGGCTGCCGGTTCATTCCTGAGCCACTTCTCCAGCTCCCGGCGGTTCCGGTCTGTGTAGTCCAAGCAGATGATCTCCTGGAAGCGCTCACAGGCAGACAGGAGCTGGTAGATGGTGGGGCCGCAGCCAACATCTATCAGGGTATGGCCACTGAGCCCTTCTGGTGTGGAGGAGGGAAAGGCCATCCCGGTGAGGCTGTGCCCCGGGACAGAAGCATCCAGCCAGATATTTCTGCTGTATGATGTACTACACTATATGTAATACACGATACGTACGCATGTTAATATACATACCAAACGGCTCGCTGTGTGGGGCACACATGCAGCAGCCTGCAGCCCTGCAAATGGCGCTGGCTGCTGTTGCCCAACTCCGGGCAGGGGTGCGGGGTACTCACCCAGGGCGAACATGCTGAAGAGGCTCCTGAGGCTCTGTGTGAGCAGCGTGTTCGGCTGGCCCTGCACGCTGCTGAGGGTGCAGAACTCCCGCAGATACTCCTGCGGGTCGAAGCTGCGCTGGTAAAACTCCGCGTCCGTGAAGGCAGCCGGAGCGTCCATCCTGCCGGGAGCAAGGTCTGCGCTCGCTCCTCCTGCCGCACGCAGCGCAGCCCGTGTGTACTTTCGGTTTTCCCCACCCTCCTGTGCCCTCTGCTCCAGACACGCTCCCCTTCCCGAGCAGGGCCCTCTCCCACACTCCGTTGCTGCACCCAGCTTCACCGTGTAGCAGCTCCCCGTTGAAGCCCCCCGTGATTAGCAGCAATCCCTGGGATTACGTTCCCAGCCCTGTTTGTACGGTAATTGACAGCAGTGAAGCAACGTGAGCCGGTGTCACCGGCGCTCACAGCCCCACGGCTCCATGAACATCAGCACGTCCACCACCTCTGCTCCTCAATTGCAGATTGAAGCTGGCATGTTTGGTAATAGGATGTGCAAGGAAGTTTTAAGGCCGTTCGATGCCCTGGCGGGGACTGTCCGTGTCTCCACAGGAAGGAGAGATCGCTGCCAGCCCATGGGAAGTGCCTGCTGCCGTTCCCAATCTGCTTCAGTCATTTTGTTGCTTTCATTTTTATCAGCTTTTCCTGGGAAAACTGAAACTTCTCCTCTCCCCCACCAGCAACCTGCGCGTTCCCAGCCTTGCTGCCTGGGCTTGGCCTCCAGCGCTGGCCGCAGACCCTGCCCCTGCCTGCACCATGCCCCAGCAGCCCCACGCCGTGTCCCGGTGGCACGGAGGGGACACGGGGGTAGCGGCTCCTTCGCCGTCCTCACCACGAAGAGGCAGCAGAGCCCCACGCTTCTCGCGGCAGCACCGCCTCGTCCTCTTCCCACCGGCGCAGCGGGAGCCGAAATGATCAAACGATTTTAGGCTCATTACCGACCAAATCTATATAATTGGCCTCTGGGTTTTCTAAAGAGCCGCGTTAGGAGTGACGGGCAGAGGAGCCGCCGCCGCGTCCCCAACCTAATAAGCGCTATTTTAGACCCTAAAGTGACTTTGTTTAACAAACCCTGCTCACCACACCGCATGCACAGCCAGGCCTGCCTGTGCAGAACATGCTGATGACGATGACAGGAAACATGAAAAGGACGTGAGCTCGAAAGATGAGCGCTTTGAAAAG